TCAGCAGTTAAGAGCACTGACTGCTCTTGCAGAGGACCCGGGTTTGATTCCCAGCACCCACATAGTGGCTATGAACCGTCCTTAACTCCAGTTCCAGGGGAATCCAAAGCCCTCTTCTGACCTCCGCGGCATTGCACGACACAGGTGCACTCACATACATGCAGGCAACACACTCATACACATAAAATAAAAATAATAAATTTTTTTAAAAAAACTGCTGACAAAAGATAAAGTGTCTTTCCTATTTATCATACCCCAAATGACTTAAAAAAAAAGATCTATTTTTATTTGTGTGTGTGATGAGTGTTTGCCTGCGTGAGTTTATGTGAGCCACATATGTGCCAGAGCCTGCAGAGGCCAAAAGAGTGCATCAGATCCCCTGGAACTGGTGGTTGTGAGCCATTATGTGGGTGCTGGGAACCGAACCCCAGTCCTCTGCGAGAGCAATAAGTGTTCTTAACCACTGAGCCTATCTCCAGCCCCCAAAATGACTTCTTAATAAGGGGTGTAGATTTCCTTAGTGATTCTGAGACAGAAATGGTATTTTTCCCCAAAAGGATGCTTTTTCCTCAAGTTTGGAAGTTCTCAAGAAGAAATGAGGGACTTGAGATGGGTAAAACAGCACTGGTTGTTTAAGGTCATTGGGTGAAGCTATAGGAAAACAAGCAGTATCACTTTCTAGTGTTTAAACTGTTGGCAGATTATAGTTGACCAGGGAAAGTAAAGCTCACCTTTATAGTGTAGCTGTTTTATAATTATCCTTGTTTTAGCCTAGCAGTTCATCCTGACAGGATCACCATAGCAACAGGACAAGTGGCAGGCACATCTAAAGATGGGAAGGTGAGTTATATTACATTTTTGTGTTTTTTATAAGGAACTGGCAACAACTTCCTGAAAACATCTTTGCTGACAAGTCTACCTGCTTAAGTGTAATTGCAGCATCTGGAAACTTCTAGGTCCTCACCAGGAGTTTTTATTGCAAGTCAAATATCTCACTGTGGCCTTAACACCCCCCCACCCAGCTTACTTTAACTACTACAAATGTCAGAACAGTTAATTGTCTTCCAAAGAATTCACTAAATTTTGAAACATTTATCTCCACATATGGTAAGCATTAAATTATAACTATTTAATAGACAGTTAAAATCCTGGTAAATAACTCTGTGAATGTGGGATGTCTTTGGCTGTGAGCGCCCTACAGTCAAGCCCTCAGTCACTGGAGTCTGTACCTCTGTGCAGATCATGGAGCTGCTATGGAGCTTTGTGCAAACTTTGCAAGCGCTTTAGCAAGATTTTAATCTGGATTTTAAGGAACAAGAGAGCAAACTAGTAGGATGTAACAAACAGGACAGAGCCAAGCTGGATTCCAGAATGAATAATTGTCTTTTTATTTTTATTTTTTTGAAAACCCCATGTAGCTTTTGCTATCTACTTTTGTATAGCTTATTCTTTTATGAAATGAAGCACAACTTCCTTTTTTTTTTTTTTTTTTTTTTGAAACCCCATGTAGGTTTTGCTATCTGCTTTTGTTTAGGTTTTTCTTTTTTGAAAAGAAGCAAAACTTCCTTTTTTTTTTTTTTTTTTTTGAAACCCCATGTAGGTTTTGCTATCTGCTTTTGTTTAGGTTTTTCTTTTTTGAAAAGAAGCAAAACTTCCTTTTTTTTTTTTTTTTTTGGTCTTTTTGAGACAGGGTCTCCCTGTAGCCCCAGCTGTCCCGGAACTCACTGTGTAGACCAGGCTGGCCTTGAACTCACAGAGATCCACCTGCCTCTGCCTCCTGAGTGCTGGGATTAAAGGCGTGCGCCACCATGCCCGGCTCCAACTTCCATTTTTTATCAACATGTATTCACCCAGAAAACGTGAGTGCTACCTTATTTGAGAAAATGTTTTACCGTGCTTTCCACTAGTATTCTACATTTGAAAAGAAGTAATAGGGATAATTGAAGTTGGGCTACTGTTATGTAAGTTCACATAAATGAAACAGCTATTTATCCTTTTTTAAAAAAAGAAAAAAGTTCATGGCCTTGAAAAGTTCCTTGAACCAAGAAATAAACCATCTGTTCTACCCTCTAGCAGCATAAAAGTGTATTTCCATTTCTAGCATTGAAATTGAATCCTAACTTTAGAACCAGAGAAAACAGTACAGCTATCTGACCTCATTATCGACCTGTGCGGAAACACGGAGAGATCAAGTGACGTACATGGATGTCCAGAACACGGTTTACCTGACACCTTCTATCCGCTTCAGCAAATCTGATTGCTCTACGATGTTTTCTTCTATGAAAAGCCATTTCTAAAACTTAGAAATGCAGATGTACAAATAGCGTGTCAGTTCCTATGGTATAGTTGTCAGAGACTGGCTAGTCAGAGTTTCAAACTTGGTAGGCCTCTCTTGACAGTTCAGTTGCTCAAGGGGCCTGGGCCCTCCTGAAGCCACTGGGAATGTTTTATTACATTCAGAAGGCTTTTCAAATGCAGAAAAAGACTTTGACAAAATTGAAGATACTGCCCAAATAATTTTGTAGCTTCAAGGTAAAGATATGTAATTTATTGACAGTCACAACTGGTAACTCTGCTCCTCCCAAACAGCAATTGCCACCGCATGTGCGCATCTGGGATTCTGTGACACTGAATACTCTGCATGTCGTTGGAATAGGCTTTTTTGACCGAGCGGTCACCTGCATTGCATTCTCAAAATCCGTAAGTATGTGTGCTGGCCACGTGGAGAGAACTGATCCCTTGCCTGGCTGAAGAGGGAGAGAGTTCACTGCCTGGGAGCGAGTGTGTGTGTGTGAATTTGGCAGTCTTTCTGCTTCCTAGGCCCATCACTGGGGACATACACTTCCAACCAAACATTTCCAGCCACACAGGCTTGGTGAAGAAAGAGCCTCCCACCCAAAATACTCACATTCATGAGCCAGACTGCTGGCTCTGGCCTTGAATTTGATCCACTCCCCTCATAGGTGGCCCCCAAGGGTCTCTGCCCTCTGACTTGGACCTGCTTGCTGGGGCTGAGGGGGTCTTGTGGTCTCCCAGCCTTCCTCAAGGCATGCTGATTCAACAGATCCATTCACTCTTAAGCCGCTTTCTCCAGTTCAGACTTCCATTCACACACATGAATATGTTTGTATCAAACATCCCATGTATTTACCTCCTTAGCACTCTGCTCTGTATATTATCCTATGACTGCCATGTGCTAGCAGACCCTAGGCTGTGCCTCTGCAGGCACTGTCTCCTCTAAAGTAGGGGCATGAGCAGTGCCTTTGGAACTGGGTTTTGTGGGACTCAGTAGGGCAGATTTGCCCCTTTGACCCTTTGCTATCCCGTCTTACCTGTTTAGAAGCCCACACTCACCTGCTTTTCCTGTCTAGACAAGAAAGCAGGCCTAGGTCTTTATCTGTGATATAATAGACTCTTTGCATATGAGGGAGAGATGTGCGTGTGTGTAGGTGTATGGGGGTGAGTGTGCATATGTGTGCATGTGGATTACAAGTGCATACCACCACACCCAGCTTTTTGTATGGGTGCCAGGGATCAAACTCAGGTCCGTATGGTTGCACAGCAAGTGCTTTACCAACTGAACATTTGTTAAAATCACTACAAAACAGCAGGGGTCCCCAACACTGAACCATATCCCCAGTCCTGTAATAGACTCTTTATTAAAAGTAAAATTAATGTTCATTTTAAATCACATTATCTCATTTTATTCTCATATGTAGTCTTCCTGTGACTCATTTTTTCTTTGTAGAATGGAGGAGGCCATCTCTGTGCTGTGGACGACTCCAATGATCATGTGCTGTCTGTCTGGGACTGGCAGAAAGAAGAAAGACTGGCTGACGTGAAGGTCTCGTAAGCCCTACACTGGGGCTAAGTGTCTTTTCCCATGGAGAGCCGCTTGCACAGCCTTCAGCCTCTTCCCAGTGGGCTCCAGGGCTGCCTACTGCCCCATCCCTGGGAACGACCCCTTAACTTTAGGATCGTTTTTCCCCTACCTCTCCACACATGGGACCCTGCCTAAAACCTTGTTTGGGTTATTTCCTCTCTTCACAATGTCTATAGAAAATTTTCTTCCTCCTTTCGTAGTGACTATCCTCATTTTAATTCATTCAATCACTTGTTCAATTCCATTCATTCAGCAAAGCCCAGGTGCGCACTATGCGAGGATGATGATGGAACTGTGCTCGGTGCCCACCAGTCTCTAGGGCTACAGGGCAGGTGGATGCCAGCACCCATGAGGTTAGGACTCTGCCATCATCCCAGCAGCTGTCCAAAGACGGCACAGAGTCTTGGACTAATGAGAGCAGCCCCCCACCATAGCCTGCTGTTACCTTCTTGGCTGCCTCAGAATGTCAAATTAACATTCCTGAAGCTCTTATGTTTCCCTACTGTTAAGATCATCATTGGATTCCTATTTTTATAGAACTGACTTTGGATTTCTCATCTTGGCATCTGTCAACCTTAGCTGACCTTACTTATCTAACAATAGAGAAGCCATCAGACAGCCTTCCTAATATAAGATTAGGGTTGCTGCAGACAGCCTCTTTTATATGAGGTTGCCCTGAGAGAGCCCTAGTGCTCACTTTCTGTCTTGTGTGTCTGGGGTGCAGACCTGTATTCTAACTAGCTGTGTTTCCTCTCATGACAGTCCCTGTCCTCTAATGTTCCCAGTAGGGATTTAAGGTGTTCTCACTATGCTACTAGGTTGGAAGCAATCCAAAGCACGTTCCTAGCCAGGATCAAGGACATGCAACTGAATTATTAAGTAGAAGCCACAGTCAGGGCCAGACTCAGTCAGAGCAAAACATCCATTCTGGAAGTCAGAATATGGTTGAAATGACTGTCAAAGAGGCACCAAGGCCACCACATGAGACCCTAGACTGGGTCCTGAGTCACAGGCAGAGTTCCAGGTTAACAGAGACTTCCTGGGAAAACAGGGCAGCCACAGGGAGCCAGGGTCAGAGAACTGTAGGGCATGCAGAGTCCTAGGCCCTTGCTAGAGATGGAAGTCACTGGGAAGACTGCATGTCACCACACACCAGGGGATTCCACTGCTCGGCCAGGCTTCTCACCATGGAAAGACAGGAGGAAAGGCCGCGGGTCTGAGGAGCCCCCCAGCTCCTGGGCTGCCTTCAAGCTCCCTGGCTCTGGGCGCCCAGCCTGAGGGGAAGTCAGACAAGTGGGGAACTGGGTCAGCAACCAGCATAACGTGGAAGTCAGTCGGGGAGACTTGAGAGACCCAGTGCTTGGTGTATAGGAGTTTTGTATTCAGGCTTCAGATTTCATCTACTTCCTCGGGTTTGTAAAGCCCCAAGGATTTGACTCTCCTTTTTTTTTTCCTTTCTTATTTTTCTTAAAGTGTTCCAATGAAGCTGTGTTTGCTGCAGATTTCCACCCCACAGACACCAATATCATTGTCACCTGTGGAAAGTCACATCTCTACTTTTGGACCTTAGAAGGAAATTCACTTAACAAGAAGCAGGGGTTATTTGAGGTAAACTCCATTTTCCCTTCCATTTTCCCAAGTGGTACATGTGAGGGGCTGAGTTTTAAGGGGACACTGAGGCAGCTCAGTGTTAGCATTTGTTTTAGTGGCAAATGTATGGGTGTAGAGATGACAGTGATCCCCTGGGGTTCCCCCATATCATTGGGCAGGTCTCCACATCTTGGGGAATCTCACTGGTAATAAAGTGGAGAAAGAACCCAGGTCAGGGAGGGCAGGGTCCCCCACAGGTGGCTACTTAGAACCTGCGGACTGAGAGAGGTCCTTGCTGCTGGGGTCCAGCGACCTGGCTCCACTAAGGGTGGAAGGGCTCTCTGTGCCTCCTGTGGCTTTATTCTGAAGGCATGATAACACAGCCCATCCCCCCATCCCCACCCCTTCTTTGCCCTGCTTAAACTGGCCAGAACTTGAGGATTCCTTGTCCACTGGGAGTTGCCAGAAATTTCTTTCCCTTAGAGCAGCTCATCTGGTGGCACAAGTTTCCTAACTAGATGAAAATGCAGGGTACAAAGGGAGACTACAGAGGCTGGCATAGTCCAGCTGGGTTACTGTTAACACAAGTCAAGAGGACATCTTGATGAACTAGATGCATGTGTGTATTTGCTTCAGAAACAGGAGAAACCGAAGTTTGTCCTTTGCGTGACGTTTTCTGAAAATGGCGACACCATTACTGGAGATTCAAGTGGCAACATCTTGGTGTGGGGAAAAGGTAACGCGCAGTTCTCCCGAAGTCGTGGGGTGGTTCTTTTCTTTATGGTAATTTATAACTAAGACATCGAAGGTGGCTTTTATAGGAATTACCCACTGATGTACTATAAAAGATTCTGGTTGAGTTCCAATGATATGGGTGTGTTCGTATATATGGTTTTAATGAAACCATAAAATTAAAATAAAAGGAAACTGAGGAATGCTGAGTTACTGAGTACATGTACCAGTGTAAAAGGCTTTTGAAGGCCAGGATATCATGATGGAATTAATCACCTTATTGGAAGATCTACTAACAAATTATAATGATGAAGTTATAAATGGCTGTATAGCTGTGATGTGTACAGGTAACCTTTCTGATTCATGTAGCATTTGACAGACATTTATAGAGCTCTACAGGTACAAGACAGATGAGACACATGTACACAAACTCCCCTACAGTTAGGGTAGTGGGACTCCTCACTTATAAAAGAGATATTCAGTTAAATTTGGTGAGAATTTGTGGGTATTTTAGGTTTCCCCTGTGAAGATGGAGACAGACCTGCACATGTGATTTCAGATGGCACAGTGACTGCTCTGCTTTGTGGACAGTACTCATCTGAACAGTCCTACAGGATAAGAAATTACCCCCCCATATCATGGGGGGTGGGACTAAGAGGAAGAGCTTCTCCAGACACAGCCCACTAGGGAAGAACTAGAGTGTGCACGCAGAGTCCTCGTTCTTACCCACAACTCCCATGGCATGATGCTGTCCTCAATTTTAGGGCATGCCTGGGGTTCTGGGAGTGACCAGAATCCAGGTCCTTCATTGGAACATACTCAAAGAATGTTGTGATTGATCATAATGCCTTTTAAAACCAAATGAAATGAAATTCACCGTGAGCAGAGGCCAGTCTTTTGATGCTATACTAGTTGACAGTTTTCCTGGTGTGTTTAGGTACAAATCGGATAAGTTATGCAGTTCAAGGGGCCCACGAGGGTGGCATTTTTGCACTTTGCATGTTAAGAGATGGCACGCTGGTGTCGGGAGGAGGGAAGGACCGAAAGCTCATTTCTTGGAATGGAAACTATCAAAAACTTCATAAAACTGAGGTAAGTCATGAGCACCACTGAAGGGATTCATTCAGACCTTTACCCACCCTAACGAGTTTCCTTTCGGCTTAGAATTCTGAACTTAAGAGTTTTGAAAAAAAATTAGAAGAAATTAGATAAAGGCAGCAATCTTAGCAAAATCATAGAAGCCATTTATGTACAACTAAAATAAAATAAGTTTGTAGAATTTAAAGTTGTAAAACACTTCCTATTTAGAATGTTATAATAGAAACAGTCTTTTCCAAGGGACTATTTTGCTAATTTTAACTTGCCATTAAAAGCTTCTCTCTTTTTCTACTCATTCCCAGCATGCTACCTTGCACACAGCACCACTCTGAACCAGTGCTTGCTGAGCACCTGCTTTGTGCACAGCGCTCCGCTGAGGACTGCTATGCTCTCTCACTCTCTATCCTTCGAGATCCATTTCACCTCCTGGAGACCTAGTGAGCAGCCTGCCTTCTCATAGGAGCCAGAGACAAGGCACCCTAGCATCCCGGTACCCTCGCTGAGTTTTCTCTCTCTTGCTCCAGGTTATGAGCAGGCAGACTGCAAAATTGGCATCAGTGTGAGGGTCAACATGTTGTAGGACTTTCTGGCTTCTTAGTCAAACATGCAATGTGGTATACCATGGGACCATGTGGCACTGCTTTTGGTAGTATGAAAATTTGGTTCCCACAGTTACTTAGTAAAGAAAGGCTTTCATTTGAGCATTGGCAGCCCCATCCTTTTTCATGAAGATTTGATTTTTTTTTAACTTACATGTTTTGTGTGTATGTGATGTATGTGTGTGTGAGCACCCAGGTACACACACGTGGAGACCAGAGGAGGATATCAGGTACCCTGCTCTGTCACTCACTGTCTCATTTCCTTGAGACAGGTTCTTTGGGTGAACCTAGAACTAGGTTGGCAGTCAGAGCCCCAGTGATCCTCCCATCTCCACTCCATCCAGTTCTGGGGCTACAGGTGTGCACAGCCAGTTTTTGATGGGAGTACTGAGAATCCACACTCAGGGCCTCCTGCTTCCTCAGCTTCTCACCCCCTGAGCTGTCTACTACCCAGCCTCTCAGGAAGATTTCAACCTTGATAGTATCTCACTACGTGGCCCAGGCTCACCCACCTTAAGCTCACTGTGTAACCCAGGCTGGCCTCAAACTGACAGCGATCAGCTTCAACCTTCTGAATTGTGTAATCACAGGCAATTCGTAACTTTTCTTACAATTATAATAATTTATTTTATATTTGAGGTTTGCTGAGAATCCACTTTAAACATCTTTACAACAAAAGGCTATTATGTAAAGTAATGGATATATTAATTAACTTCATTATGGTAATTATTTTACAATGACTATGTATGTAAAACATCATGACCATATTTTAAAACTACACAGTTCTTATTTGTGATGTATATCTCAGTAAGACTTGAAAAGTCCATTTGGTGAACAAAAAGCAAAACCTAAGAAGGGAGGGATGTTACATCATTATGCAAGGTTGACGTGAGGCAAGGCACTAGAAGTTACAGGTGAGGTTGGATGTGCACTTGTAGACTGGGAAATTACTCATTAAATTATATGCTACAGGGGGCTGGAGAGATGGCTCAGTGGTTAAGAGCACTGACTGCTCTTGCAGAGGACCCGGGTTCGATTCCCACATAGTGGCTATGAACTGTCCTTAACTCCAGTTCCAGGGGAATCTGAAGCCCCTTTTCTGACATCCATGGTATTGCACAACACAGATGCACTCATACACATGCAGGCAATACACTCATACACATAAAATAAAAATAATAAAATATTTTTAAAAATTATATGCTACATTGGGGTTAGAGGGAACTTTATACATTGGTAGTACTGACTGACTTGGAGAGTTGCAAAGCTCTACGGATACATATTTAGACAGACTGACTTATCACTGATTGAATTTGGAAGACCTGGCAGGTCATCTCATTTGACCCCCCCATTGTTTGGTTGGAAAGTGCCCTAAAGTTGTACAGAACTCTTAAGCTTTGGGGTCATACTGAGAAGCTCTGTATTCATTGCTATTACTAGGGTGTTGGGTTTGGCTCCTTCTTTAATATTATTCAGAAGCATTTTCCATAAGAATAGCATTTGAAGATCACCAGCAAGTTTCCTGTACCCCAGAGCATCTGGACATAAGATTTCACTTATGCCTGAAAAATGTCTGGCAAATCAATTTGGATCTCATCTGTGACATCTGAGTCTACGTGATTATAGGACGTGCCCAAGTTAGACACCCCCAGTCTCAGTCTCTTTTTCACACTCTTTTAGTTAGCAGTTCTCCACACTGGATACATTCCCGGGTTCCTTTCCTTAGAATTAATCTTCCTCTTCCTGTCTTCTTTTCCCTCTCCTCATCGATTGTGTGTCGTTTCTGACAGTTCCTAATTTAAAGTCCTTGGTCACTTAGCATGCCTCCATGCATCAGAGGATGATAAAACTGAGGGACCAGGACAAGGTCTCACACGGGCTGTGTTGAATTAAATCCTGTAACAATAGCATCAAACACTCATGACTTTCCATAATAAGATTTGCTTGGTGTTTGAGGGACTGCACTGTTCATTGCTAGCCACAGACACTCTCATATTAACCATAACTGCAAAGAAAGTACCAGAACCTCCTCTGACATGGGGCGACATCACTCTCTGTGCAGCTCTCCCACTGCGTGGGCTGTAACATCTTTTCTTCTTTTTAATTTTTCAAAAAAACTTAATATTCCATTTTTGTCCGTGTGCATGCATGTCTACACGTGTGGGTGCACGTACACGTGTGTGCATGCATGTGGAGACTACAGGTCATCCTTGGGTGTGGTTCCCTAAGAGCTGTCCACCTTATTCTTTGAGGCAGTCTCTCACTGGGACCTGGGGCTTGCTGATTCAGCTATGTTTGCTGGCTACCAAGCCAGGAGAGACAGGGATTTGCCTGTCTCCACCTCCCCAGTGCTGGGATTACAAACACATGCCTCCAAATCCAGTTTTTTTTTTCACTTGAGATCAAACTCAGGTCCTCAAACATGCTTGACACATACTTTACCCATTGAGTCATTTTCCCAGCCTCTCTTTTTTTTTTTTTCTTTTGAGATAGGGTCTTACTATATAGTCCAGACTAGCCTCAAATAGCCAGTCCTCCTGCCTCAGCCTCCAAAGTACTAGGATTCAAGGTGTGCCCCATCACACCAACTCAGTCATTACCTTTGCTCAAGTCTGTGCAGGCAGACATGCTGCAGAGACTATGGCAGAGCAACCAGTTCTTGCCGTGCAGGCCTGATGCCTAGCAGGAGGCAGCCCCCGGGCCCAGCTGCTCCAGCGTTCTTTCTACAGTGAGGAAGCATACTCAGTGTCTTTGGAAAGTGCATTTTGAAATTTTTTTTCTCAACATTCGGGTTATTCCATATGTCTATCAACATGAACAATGAATTCCAAAGAATGACACTGCCCAAGGACTTGCCACTTTAAGGCACAGGAGAAGTTTAGGAACTTGTTACTTTTCAAGTGTTATCTGCTACTCCATCAGTGGTTAAGTAAAGAGCAACAGGTGTATTTCTCTTTTTTTCTTAGTTCTTTGAGCATTTCATACCATGTATTTTGATCATATTCCTTCCCTGAACTACCAGTTCACCTCCACACCCACCCAACTTTGTGTCCTTTCTCTTTTCTCGTGGATATCCAGTTTTGCCAGCACCATTTATTGATGAAGGCTGTGTTTCTTCCTGTTTTGACACTTTTCTCAAACATTAGGGTTCGACAGTGATGTGCATTAATTTCTAGAGTCTACATTGTGTTCCCTCCTTTTACATGTTGGTTTTCGTGAGAGTACCATACTGTCTGTTCGCCCTTACAGAATGTGTGAAATCTGGTGGGTAGGCTATGGGAGGGTACAGATAGGGAAGGAGGTCTAAATATGATTAAGATTTATTGTATGAAATTCATAAAAATTTAATAAAACATTGAAAAAAGTTTTGAAGAAACTAGGAATGGATAGAAAATAGAACTTTATGTCCTTTAAAAAAAAATTGAGTCCTATTACTCCTGGGTGTGGGGCCATCCACTGGAGTGTGGTCAGCCTAGCAGTGGCCACACACTTAAAGAAAACTGACTCTCTACTTCCCAAAAGCTATCAATTGCCAATGGCTCCTCAGCTAGGGGTCAAAAAATGTTTTTAAAAAATACTTTATTCTTGCTGATTCACTTAAGATATATAAAATGTTCTGTAGTTTAAGAGTCAAGTTAGGGGGTCTGGAGAGATGGCTCAACGATTAAAAACACTGGATGTTCTTGCAGAAGACCCAGGTTCAAATCCCAGCACCCACATGGCAGCTAACAACTGTCCGTAACTCCAGTCCCAGAGGCTCCAACAGCCTCTTCTGATCTCCGCGGGCATTGCACAACACAGGTGCACTTACCTACATGCAGGCAATACATGCATACACATAAAATAAAAATAATAAATAAAAAAATTAAAAGTCAAGTTAGGTCCAATCACTAACACCACAAACAGGTAAATACACACGTACATACATATATATACATAGACATACACAGACACACATGCACACACATATAAGGTGTGGAGTTTTGGTTAGTTGCTCAGCAGCTAGCTGTGATCTCTGTGTATCTGAGATTCCCTTCTATGTATGTTATAAAACTGTCAGAAGACCTGTCACGTGATACATAATCAAGTATTTTTCAATGTTTGAACTAAATGCTGGCGCACACCTGTCATCCCAGTGCTTGGGAGACTAAATCAAGAGTACTGCTTCAAATTTGAGGTCATCTTGGGTTGCACAGTAAATTCAAGGGCAGCCTAAACTATGTAGTGAGACATTGCCTCAAAAAACAAAGAAAACAAAAAAAAACAATTGAGCTGGGTGTGATGGCTCACACCTTTAGTCCCAGCACTCAGGAGGCAGAGGCAGGTAGATCTCTCTGAGTTCAAGGCCAGCCAGGGTTCCAGAGTAAGACCTTGTGAAAAAAAAAAAAAAAAAAAAAAAAAAAAAAAAGAAAAGAAAAAAAGAAAGACAGACATATGCCTTTAGTCCTAGCACTCAAGAAGCAGAGTCAGGGGGATCTCTGTGAGTTCAAGGCCAGCCTGGTCTACATAGTAAGTTATAAACCAGCTATGGCTACAGGGAGACCCTGTCTCAAAAAGACCAAAAAAAAAAACAAAAAAAAAAACACCAATTGAATTAAATCTTGTTTTCATGTGACTTTCCGATACAGATTCCTGAGCAGTTTGGCCCAATACGGACAGTGGCAGAGGGGAAGGGCAATGTCATCTTGATCGGCACAACTAGAAACTTCGTCCTGCAGGGCACTTTGTCAGGGGACTTCGAACCCATCACTCAGGTACAGTCCAGTTTGGCAGTGAACAAGGATAAACGCAAGCACTGGAGAGAGGGTTCACTGCTCAGCTGCACACTGACACCACTGTCCACACAGACTTGTGTTTGGTGCCATGATTACGCTGGGGAGGAAGGAGCTGAGGAGGCAGGCCATTGATGAAGTAGGCTCCTCTATGGCTATGGGAGCTCAGAGCCCCCGTGTCTTGGTTCTCTGCAGGGTCACACTGATGAGCTCTGGGGACTGGCCATCCATGCCTCCAAACCTCAGTTTCTGACCTGTGGACACGACAAGCACGCCACTCTCTGGGATGCTGTCGGTCACCGGCCTGTCTGGGACAAAATCATAGAGGTAAGCATGCATATCACATTTCTGTTTTTCTTATAAAAAATGCATCAGAAATGTATTTTTTATTTTTGCATGAAATCAGTAGTGATAAGAAATTGTCCAAAAGCGATGTTCTGACTTATCTTTTCATAATTGCATTGCCTTTAACATTGGCCCAAGTATTTTCATCCATGTGATTCCAAAGTTTACTGTTGAATGTTTTCAACAGTGGGTTAGCTTTGCAAGCTGGTTGTCAGGGTTCCTGAGAACAGAGTCTTAACTGGCCTAAGTGCTAAGAATCCTGTGGTATGAGAATTATAAACTGTGGAGAACACGAGGTTTCATTTATCCTACCTCTGGATTTTGGCCGAAAAGATAAAGCATTTGTTTTAAAGTCAGCATCTCTGGGAACTTTACATGAGAAGTGTGGATTTCATAGCAGGTGTAAAAATGCCTTTCCCTACATGGAAACCATGCTTGTGTTTCTTGAGCTGCTGAGTGTGTAGTAGCCTTCATTCTTGGAACTGCCCTGCAGGTTGGAGAATTTCAGTTTTACTCTGACTCTGTTGATCAGGAAAATGAGGTGTAGAGAAGTTGGGTTACTTGTCAGGATCACTAAGTTAGTAAGTGGCAGCGTTCATCTGCCCAGCTCAGTCTGACTCCCAAACCCAGGCTGTGCCATGTCATCACTGTGCAGTGAGTCAGAGGCATAGGCTCCGATATTTGTGTCCTGAGGACTCAAACATCCCATATAAGGAAGCAGCCCTTTGGCAGCGCCCAGCATCACCCCCTTGTACCTTGCTGGCATTTCCAAGGGGCTGGGACTGAGGTTGGCACACTCTCTTCCCCTTTCAGAGAAGGCTGCCACAACATGTGGTCTCTGCAGCCAGCTGAGCCCCAGGATGGAGGGCCTGGGGGCAGGCACTACCACTGTGGTGGTGGCCAGGGAGGGCAGTGCTCCTAGAGTTCCACCAGAATGACAAACCAACTGAGAGCCTGGACACTCCACCTCCTGCCCCTCCCCAGGTGGCTAACTGTTCTGGCCTGACATAAGCTTGGGGCCGAAAGCCGCAGTTCTGCAATGACTTAGCTCCTCTTCCCGTGGTCCCTGTGACTTTGAGTGGGAAACCTTGACCTCTCTGCACCCTAATGCCTTCATATGAAAATAGTTGTGAGGTTCAGATGATCTATGTTTTCAAAAGTGTCTTATAAATGGTCGCAGGTCAGGAACATGAGTTGACAACACTGGCCTTAATGGTGACTTCCTCTTTGGGAAAAGGCACACGGCTCAGCGCGAATCTCTTTCCGCTCTCTTGTGGTTGCAGTTTATCTAGTAGCAGCCCTCCTGTTCCCATTCCTGCCCTGGTGGTGGTCAGGGGCCATGTTTCCAACTCAATCAAGCACACCATTTCCACTGAGCCCAGGGATTGGCAAGGGGTCTGGACATACAAACTGTGGCCTGGAAGGACATTGGCCTGTTGGCCTTTGGTGTGATCCTGAAGATAGGCTACCACAGAGACATTCTGAAAGGACAGAAGTTACTGTAACTGAAGTGTGGCGTGCAGTCAAGTGCGAAAGCACTTGCCCCCTGGGGAGAAAAGAGGCTTTTCAAACAGAGCCACAAGGGTGGGTTTTATGTTATCCGCTGTGTCTGGCCACCAATTTACACTTCCTTTAAAATGTTTTAGGATCCAGCTCAGTCTTCTGGTTTTCACCCTTCAGGGTCTGTGGTTGCAGTCGGAACACTGACTGGGAGGTAAGCCCCCTGTCCCCCCTTCCAGCAGAGCAGCATCAAGAGCTATGGACAGGAGATCATTGTCTGAGCCTCCCCAGGCACAGGTGCTATGAACTCCTAAAAGTGCCTCCTCCCCAGATCCCTTCCCCCATCTGCCTTCTACTCCAGAGGCTCTGGAGAGCTCTTGAGTCCTGCTCCAGAGTCTGGTGGAGGAGCCCCAGCTTGGAAATGGGTGAGAGGCATTCCAAAGCACAGAGAAGTTAAGCCTGCTTTATCCAGCTGCTCATTCAACACTGTAGAATGCCCAGATCCCAAGCCTCATGTTCAGACTCCACTAATTCTTCCCAGCCTCCTCTGACAGGCTGGGTAGCAGGTCTGCCTTTGAACCTCATCTTTGCCACTTAGCAGCAGTGTGTTTATGAGCCAGTTACGTAAACTCTCTGAATGTGTTTCTTGTCTGTAAATGGTAATATCTCTTACTGATGACTGAAGGAGCTATGTATATAGGACATCTGCTGAGCTGGCCTAGCAGGTGATGTGGTGGCTGTTTCTATCACTGTGTGGCAGGGTTTTCCTTTATTTCCACATTGTCTCAGTAGAACAGACCTTAGGGGATATGGTCCAAGACCGCCCCCCCACTGAACCCATAAACCTAGGTTTCTCTTCTGCATATCTCTATAATAAAGTTTAATTTAGAAATTGGGCTTAGTAAGATATTCATGACAGTAATCATCAAATGGATCTGTTATGACCATAGAGGACCAATGTATGTGGTCCTCTCCCAAAGCATCTGGACTTGCCTTCTCCCTGTGGTGGGGAGAGATGACCCAGTACCTGCCTGAGGTAAAGCAAAGTGAATACCCTGCTCAGAACCAGGCACAACTTAAACCTTATACATTGTTTATTTCTGGACTTTTCTATTGAATGTTTCCAGACTGAGATTGGTGGTGGGTAAGTATAAGAGAGCAAAGCCCAGGGGAGGAGAGACTGCCTACATGAGCCAGTTACATGTGCATTTTTAGTTGTTTTCTCCCATCGTTCTGCTCTAAAGGTGGGCCACTTAAATTCTGCTGTTGTGACTGTGAGGTCCTAAGAGTCCTTCAGCAAAATATTTGCATGGTGAGACACAATTATGCATACAGGCACACACCCACGCATACACCGTCTTCCATTTAATTCTTTTAGAGACATGGAATCTTGAACTCAGTAGGCTCCACCCTCTGAGAACTGACTGACAGCCTGACAGATAGACAGCACCATCATCCTACCTGCTGACAACACACAGAAGATGTGTGACAGGTATCCTAGGATGACACCTGTGACCTCATCCCTCTCTTCCATCTATTCCTCCTACATCTCTGGTCCCAGGGCTAAACACTGGTGATGCTTCAAGTTAACAGGACTCTTCAAGGCACATTCTAGTCGGCCCCCGTCCACGTGTTATGTATAAGCCTCTGTGGAGGTTAATAGTACATCCAAGGTATAACTGGTTGTCCAAGATGCAAGAAAGAAGTCTTACTGGGTGGCAATAGTTAGATCCCAGATGGCAATGTCTCTGCATCTGTCATCCAGGTTTGAAACCACAGCTTCACGGAGTCACAGCCGTGGTTTATGAGTTCCTAACACACTTGGAGTGCTGTGTCCTTGCAGATCCACACAGTACTTCCACAGCAGTGCAGTTTGAGGCTGAGTGTGCAATGGAGACATGGCTCAAATTGGCATGCTATAGTTTAGAAATGGACCCTGAGCACTGCAAGTCAAGACCAGTCCTGTCTTCCTTCCATGCTTCCTGTCCCTTCCTGCTTTCTGCTCCCTGGCATTCAGAAAAGGCCAGTTGGTAGCTAGCTATCCTAGCCCCTCACCCCCAGGACTCATCCTCCTCACCCTAGACCAGCGTGCTGGGGTAGCTCATGCCATGGTTCTCTGCTGCTCCTCTGACACAGGCCATGGCACCAGGTGTTGGCCATCCTCCTGCCAGGGCCTGCCCTCCTTCTATGTGCAAATGAGAAGACTCACTGAGCAACCACATCAGTGTTAAGAAGCGGATAGATGCAAATGGTTGTCAGTATGCTGTTCTTTTCTGTTCTGCTTTGGTTTCTGTTGCTAGGATGAACACTGACCAAAACCAACTTGTGAAGGAAAGGGTTTATCTCCCAGGTCACAGTTCATCCTTGAGGGAAGTCAGGGCAGAATTCCAGGCAGGAACCTGGAGGCAGGAACTGAAGCAGAGACCATGGAGGAATGCTGTTCACTGGCTTGCTCCTCTGGCCTGTGCTCAGTCTCCTTTTTTATACAACTCACAACCACCTGCCCAGGGGTGGCACCTCCCACGCTGAGCTGAGCTCTATGTCACTCAACAATTAAGAAAATGCTTCACAGACATGCCTACAGGCCAGTCCAGTGGAGGAAATTCCCCATCTGGGGCTCCCTCTTTCCAGATGTGTGGAGCTGACAACTGAAGCTGGGTAGCAACTCCATGTAGGGAATACTGGTGTAGGGGAGTTTTCTTTGAGTAAAAGTTGGGTATGGCTTTCTTGTTAGCAAACCCACTGTATTTCTCTAGCCCCATGATTAATAGGCTTTTACTGTTGAGTAGTCTTTCATCCGCCTTGTGTTTTCTCATGTTTATAACAGGTGGTTTGTGTTTGACACGGAAACAAAGGACCTGGTCACTGTCCACACAGATGGAAATGAACAGCTGTCTGTAATGCGTTATTCACCAGGTTAGAACACAAACTCTACATTTTTATTTTGTCTTTTTTGAGACAGGGTCTCCCTATAGCCCCAGCTGGCCTGGAACTCACTATGTAGACCACATTGGCTTCAAACTTAGAAAGATCCATCTGCTTCTGCCTCCCAAGTGCTGGGATTATAGGCATGAACCACGATGCCTGGCCACAAACTCTACTTTAAAATCACAGCAGTGTACCCTTGTGCAAGAAGCAATTTGACAAGCTTCCTCTGTGGGAAACTTAAATTATACATACACATAGTTGCGGGACTTACAGGCTCTCTTCCCTCCTTTGGGTCACTGTGCGAGTGTGTCTTTAACTTTGTATTACAGGAAACTTCAGACATAGAATTGGAAAGATTAGCAGAATGAGCCCCACCCCCATCACCGGCTTCCAAGGTGATGGACCCTGTTGCCCCCACTGCCCCTCCCATGTCATTTGGAAGCAGTTCCCAGACTTGCATCACTGCATCTGTTAATACTGTTGTGTCTATTTCAAAGACATGAGGACTGTGTTTAATAGCTTTAAGTATACTTTACCTGTGATAAATGTTCAGTGGTTTGTTGGGGCTGGGGGCAGGGCTCAGTCTACAAAGTACTTGCCATGCAAGCACACATTCAGACGAGCCATTGCCCCAGCCCTGTTTTGTAAATTTGATGTGAATTTATTCCTAAGTCATTTTTACATCACTGTGTATGGGATTTTTCTGTTGGTTACTGGTATATAGACATAGAATTTAATTTTGTCTTGTGGATCATATACACATTCACCTTTCTAAACTCTCTAATGAGTTTTAAAGAACTCTGTGTGTGTGTCTGTGTGTATGTGTGTGTGTATGTGTGTGTGATCCTATGGATTTTTGTCATGCAATGTCATGTCATCTTCAAATGTTAAAAAATTGACTTCTTTTGCAGTCCCGATGCCTTTAACTTTCTTTATTGTATTAGCTTGACCCTTAGTAAGATGTTGAACAGACCTGACCATAGTGGCTCCCTTGCCTTGCTTTGTGGAGATCTTTGGCTGCCGCTTCAGTGCCTTTTTTTACAGATCTATTCAGATTTGTTTGCTTGTTTCTTTTAAGCACTGTGGTGATGTGGGTCTCCAGCAGCTTGCTTTGACTTAGGTGATTTGTTGGCACAGACACACTCACAGTATTTGCTTATAATCCTCTCTGAGGTTGGCCATGAGTAACTTCTCTTTCATTCTTGATCCTGGCAACTGCTGTTTTCTCATTTTCACTTAGTCTAGCAAAAGCTTTGCCAACCTCACTGATCTTTTCAAAGAACCAATTTTTTATTTCGTTGGTGGGTTTTTTTTCTTATGTTTCTGTGCTATTTATTTCTTTCTGTGTTCAGTTCTTATTTCTTAGCCTCTGAAGGTGGAAACATAGGTTATGGATGGGAGAACTTTCTTTTTTAGTACAGATATATGAAACTAAATTTCCCCAAAGCACTGCTTAAGCTGCATGTGTTCTTATTTCCCTTCAGCTCAAAACTATTCCCTGCCAGGTGCGGTGGTGCACACCTTTAATCCCAGCTCCTGAGAGGCGGGTGGATCTCTGTGAGATGGAGGCCAGCCTGGTCTACATAGTGAGTTCCAGTCCAGTTGGGGCTACAGGGAGACCGTGTCTTAAACCCTCCCCCACAAAGAATTTTTTTCCCTAATTTCCCACATTAATTCTCCTTGGGCCTGCTCTTACTTATATCAAATTCTTCTTGCAGTTTTTTGAAAGCTTTACAGTGAGCACAAAAGGGCCTTATTCTCCATTTTGACTTCCTATAAAGAGAAATTCATGGATGAACAATCACTGCCATCCATTGACATGGAATTTCAGAGATCTGCTACTGAGACCCAGCCCTGAGCCACCTCCACTTCAGGGAGTCCCCTGAACTGAGACATGCAAAGGAGAGAGGTCGTTCTTCTCCTCCGTCTCTGGAAGGCTGTGCTCCCTGCTAAAGGAAAACCCATTGGGTCTTGGTTTTTACTAAAAGACTGGGACCAGACTGTAGGAGCAATCTGTGAGTGGCCCTCAGTCACCATCCTCCTGATGAATAGGAATGCTGCCTACGTATATGAATTTTTTGTCTTCATCTATGTAAGTGCACCCACAGGGGCCAGAAAAGGGTGTTGGCTTACCTGGCACTGGAGTTATGGATGGTTGTTAGCTGCCATGTAGGTGCTAGAAACTAAACCCCAGACTTAAGCAAGAGCAGCCAGTGCTCTTAACCGCTGAGCCATCTCTCGAGCCCCTTTTCTTTCTTTCTTTTTTCTTAGATTTACTTACTTTTATTTAATATGTGTGACTGTTTTGCCTCCATATATATAAGTACACCGTGTACGTGCAGTGCCCATGGAGGCCAGAAGAGGGTATTGGATCCCCTGGAACTAGAGTTACAGGAGGCTGTTAGCCTCCATGTGGGTACTAAGAATTGATACTGGGTTCTCTGCCAGAACAGCCAGTGCTTTTAACTGCTGAGCTACCTCTCCAGTCCCCGGTTTCATGCATTTTTAATAGTAACAGAACAAAAGAAGTCATATGTAAGGGACATATCAAATACATTGGTAGAAATATCATCAGGTTGGGGATGGGGTGGTTACAGCAGGGCAGGGAAATCTAGGCTAGAGGCCTCAGATGCTGTCTGATAGCATTCTTACCCTTAGGGTTGGTAGATGCTAGTGGTTTGTTGGAACATTCTAAAAAGATTTACCTGAATAGTCATGAGGATGTTAGACCACACACAGGAGTGGATAGGGAATAGCTATTAAGGGGGCTAAAGATAATCCCAAATAATTAAGCTTTGGATCTGCAGCATCCCAACTGTCTGCAGTCATAAACTTCTGAGCCAAGTCGTAGGTCAGTCTTGTAGAGTCTTTAACAATGGGTGAGGCTTTTTTTCTAGGAACTTCACTTCCCACCGAGCAGCAGGATATTGAGCATTAAATCTTTCTAGCAACTTCTTCATTCTGTGATTGCTCAGGAAGGGGTCCAGGATGACACAGGTGTCCTTAGACTCACTCCAGATCCCTCCTGACTATGTAGAGGCCTGGGACTGTGCTCAGATCCCCAGGCTAGCTTCCCTCCCCAGAGAGGGATGCCCAGCTTGGAACCTGAGCTGCTGTACCAAGATGCTGAGTAGAGTTTTCAAGACCTGGAATCTGAATGTGACTGTTGGAGATAGGGATTGCTGAGAGAAATTGTAAAAACCTGCCTTTAGCCAGGTGTGGTGGTGCATGCCTTTAGTCTCAGCACTTGGGAGGCAGAGGCAGGCAGATCTTTGTGAGTTCAAGGCCAGCTTGGTCTACTAGTAAATTCAGGTCAGCTGGGACTACAGGGAGACCCTGTCTCAAGAAGACAAAACAAAACAAAAACCTGCCTTAAGTTTTTTCTTTAATTACATTTCCGTGTGTATATGTGTGTGTGTGTGTGTGTGTGTGTGTGTGTGTGTGTGTGTGTGTGTGCTGTGTGCCCCAGCATAGCTTGAGGTCCCCACCCTGGTGTTGCTTCCTGTGTCCTTCCTTCTGCCTCTGCTCAGGAAAGGCAGGCATTTCCTGACTAGTCTCCAGGCCCTGTTCCCTTCCCAGTGTGTCTTAGGTCTCCCCCATCATCGACCTTGGCTGCTTGTTGACCAGCCCAGCAGGTGTCTTCTAGTCTTATCTCAAGCTCTTTTCCTTCAGTACCAGCACTGCAGCCCAGAGGCCTAGACTTTGATGAAACAGGCAGGTGAATCCACTAAAGCCCCAGGAAGAGGCTGTACTACCTACAGGCAGACCAGTGAGGGCAGAGGTGGAGGAGGACCCATGCTCTGTAAAGAAGACTGTGTCTGCAAAGGCTAAGCCCTGGAGAGCTGGGGTAGGGACACAGACTGCTAGAGAAGGATTTCATACAATTTATAAAATTACATTTTAGGGTCTGGAGAGATGGCTCAGCAGTTAAGAGCACTGGCTGCTCTTGCAGAGACCCGAGTCCAGTTCCTAGCACCCATATGACAGCTAACAACCATCCTTAACTCCAGTTCCAGGGAATCTGATGCCCTCTTCTGGCCTCTTCAGGCGTTGTATACATGTGGTACACATATACATGCAGGCAAAACACTCATACACATTTTAAAAAAAAATCTTTTAAAATGTATTATTTTAAAAGTTTTATAAACTTTTACCAGACTTTTATCTTGATCCCCTGGGTGTTTTTCCAGTGAAAGCTTTGAAAGTAGTATAGGTCACATTGGAAAGCAGTATTTCCCTGTAAATAATTCCTTTATCTGGCAACTTGATCCAAATCTGTGGTGGCAGCTAGAATTTTCTCGTATGATGAATACAATGTTGACTTTCACATTTGAAATCTGTCCTGTTTTTGCAGATGGGAATTTCTTAGCCATAGGCTCTCATGACAACTGTATCTATATATACGGGGTTGGTGACAACGGGAGAAAATACACGCGAGTCGGCAAATGCTCGGTAAGCTTATTCCTGGTTCCCAGGAACACTTACTTACACAGTCATTTCATCATAGCAGCACAGTGTCAGCCAAGTTGAAGGCAAGTGGAACTCACCCACTCTTTTCCTCTTCCAGGGCCACTCCAGCTTCATCACCCACCTGGACTGGTCTGTGAACTCTCAGTTTCTTGTGTCAAATTCCGGGGACTATGAAATTCTTTACTGTGAGTAACAGCCCAGGGGGCATCTGAGTTTAGATTGCAGGAGACACTCACTCTGAAACCCACATGGGCCTGTGTAGAAAGGCGTCCTCTCCATCCCTTGGTGGCCTCACAGCCTCTCTTGATCCTTCCTGGTACTGAAACATCAGGTTTGGTCTGGTGTGGGACCCTCATATAAGATGCAGGGCCCACCCCTAGGAAGAGGCAAATGAGCTCTGCAGGGAGTCTGGAGGTGGATGGACATCATAGCATGAGTGGCCCTGGTAAAGGCTCCTTTCCAAGCAGGCAGAGACCATAAACTTCCTCCTATCTGAATGCATAGATGCCCCCAGACCCTTCTTCATTTTTTTCTATCCTCTACCTGATGAGTCTCTGTCCTAAGCAGGATCTGAGAGGAGAGAGGGTGGTAAATGCCTACATTTACTGAACACCTACTACACGCCATGCTCTGGGCACCTGCCACACTCTGGGCAAAGGCCCAGGGGGTCATGGGACATGAGAATGGCCTGGTCACCACCCATAGGAAGTTCACTTTCTCAAGATCCACAGCACTTTCTGGCTCATCCCCTTTTATGGATGGAGAAATCAAGGCTCAGATGCCAGTGGGGGGTTGAGTGCTAGTGGGCAGAGAGGAAGTTATACTTCCCTGGGCTTACTGCCCACTTATTAAGGAGCCTGGGAAAAGCAGGGGAGAAGCAGCACATTCCAGGACAGAGCTCTCTCCTCCCAGGCCCTGCCTGTCTGCTACAGGTGTAAAGCAGGGGAGACTTTGGGGACAGCCTGGATCTAGAACCTGCTCAGACATAGGCTCAAACTCCATTAAGAAGGCTCATCTGGAAACAAAGCACCCTGGAGGTCTTGGCACTTCTATTCCTGACTCAGAGCTGAAGGGGCGTGTGTGTGTGTGTGTGTGTGTGTGTGTGTGTGTGTACGCATGCGTGTTGAAAAAAGACTGAGCAACCTGATTACAAGGCAGGGCAGGTTCGGGCCTCCAGTGGGGGCACTGAGGAACAGGGGACTGGGGACCAGAGGCTGGCCACAGACTTGAGAAGCCAAACTAGTGGTGAGGGACAAGGGAGAGACAGGAGGAAACTGACAAGCAGCCCCTGCTGAGACCCAAATTTGTGCTCAGTTCCCTGGCAAGATGACAAGTGTACACGTTGTTCCAATGGGGGGGTGCTTTCCTGATTGGCATGGCTCCAAGGACCCTTCCTGGCCCAGGGGATATCTGGGGCCTTGACTGAGAAGTCACCAGGCTGTTTGCTCCTTCCAGGGGTTCCATCTGCCTGTAAGCAAGTTGTGAGCGTGGAAATCACAAGGGACGTCGAATGGGCCACCTACACCTGCACCTTGGGATTCCATGTCTTTGGTAGGGGCTCTACAGATGTCAGTGCCTTCGAGCACGGGATGTGCCACCTTTAGAGCATTTCTCTAATGGATGTGAAATATTATCCAGTCAGTCTTGCCCAAACTGCTCCACCCCTACCTGGGGCCAAGACACACTCTCAGAAGCTCCCAGGGTCAGGCCAGGTGGGAAGGATGAGGTGGTGGTTAACCCTATCCATGGCACAAAGTAGTCCTCAGAGCATTCTTGAGAATCCTCCCCATCAGGTTGTGCAGATGTACCTATGTGAACCATACAGTATCACTTTAATTATCTTGTGTTGCAATTATTCTAATTTTTTTCTATTTTTTTATTCTTAACCTAAAATTTTCACTTCCTTCAAAGTTCAGTTTAGGAGTATATTCACAAATAACCTGAAATAAATCACCACAGTCTAGGAGACTAAAAAGAAAAGGAAGCACTTGTAATTCTTTCTGGAGCACCAAGAAGTCAGTAGGCTGGTAGGGATTCACGAGCTCCCTCAGTGCGGTCTCCCCATCTTCTGTGGGAAGTGCCAGGCTCCCTGGAGCTGCCAGGTGAGGAGCTGATGTGCACCTGGCTCTATAATATGCAAAGTTCCCGGGACCAAAAGCCTCTCTCAGAAGACTGAGCTCATGCCCCAGGCCCCACGGCAGGCAGAAGGACCAGCCAGCCTTCCTTACACACTCTGGGGACAATGAAAAGATGTCATATCAGAACTCGGGCTGCTGGTACCTCTGCCATTGCATCCAGAAGGGCCCAAAAGAGGCAGGCAGCTGAGAGCTCTGCTCCGGCTGTGCAGTGCAGCCCAGCAGTGAGAAGTGCTGCAGTGTTTCTTAAGGCCTGCCTGGGGTCATCTGGACCCAGGAGCTTGGGAGAGGCCAGGAGCTGGGACTGAGCATCCTCCTGGCTCTTGATTCTAAAGCCCAGGCTTAAGGTGGCTTTATTTTGATGACAGCTCAGTGGCTAGCTCCTGTGTGCTGTGGCCTTAGAGTTTCCAGTGTCGTTTGTGCTCTGTTTTAGGAGTGTGGCCAGAAGGCTCAGATGGAACAGACATCAATGCTGTCTGCCGGGCCCATGAGAAAAAGCTCCTGTCAACAGGCGATGACTTCGGCAAAGTTCACCTCTTCTCCTACCCCTGCTCACAGTTCAGGGTAAGGCCTCAGCTATCCCATGCCCTTCCTTCTCCCACAGCAGGCACTGATGGTCTGACCTACTTGGAAACTGTGAAAAGGTCTGTGAAAGAGGAAAGGCACTGAGGACTGATCTAGAATTGAAGCACTTCCTGGGCCACGGTTTGCTTTCATAAGCTTTCCTCCTCTTCCAGGCTCCCAGCCACATCTACAGTGGGCACAGCAGCCATGTCACCAACGTCGACTTCCTCTGTGAAGACAGCCACCTCATCTCCACGGGTGGGAAAGACACAAGCATAATGCAGTGGCGGGTCATTTAGTCCAAACAGGAGCCCCAGGAGCAGACCGTGCCCAAGGAGAGACTAAAACGTTCCGCTTGGTCACTGTGATTTCTGTTTTGTCTAAAAACTCTTACAAACCTCAGGAAATCTAGCCCTCTACCGGACACCTTAGCTTGGGGACAGCAAGTGTCACACCAGATAAGCAGCTCCCATTTCCGCTTTGGTTGTATAGTACAGAAAGTACACATTGGGTACGGAAAGGTCCCAAGGGTTTCATGGCGGTGGCACCACCTGAAGGGACTGGTGCACCCTTAATCTCTCTTCTATAAACTCTTCAAAAACGGTCACAGAATGCCTTTTAAAATGTTGTATATAGTCTTCACTGTTTCACCATCTAGCTTGCTAAGTCAACTATTTATGATAACGATGAACACTGAACCAGAGCTGTTGTTGACCAAGTGGTCCTAAAAGGTCCTAAATCATGTAAGAGTGAATAACTGATTTGCCCAGCTGGATCAGGAATGTAAATATGAGACTTTTCTCAGTTACGTTTCTAAGATCTCACTCACTCCTCCCTTTGGGAGGCTGGCAAGAAGACAGGGTTGTGTTTCCCCTGTATAAGCAAATTCTACCACAGAACCTACAGATTTCAGCAGGGTATGTAGGTGCTTCTGGGTTCTGGTTAGACACACAGCCAGCTCCTCCGCACTTCCACAAATTGCACCCCTTCTGTCCCCATTCATGTGCCCGGATAAATGGCAAGACATTTAGCCACCATCCTCTGTGCATTAATGGCATGATATGGTATTGTACTTGTATAGGATTTAGCAACTCATGGTAAATGCCTAAGGCTGGGCCTCACTATGTGTGTTATGGACATTGTACGTTTGTACCTGATGACCAAGATGATCAAGTGGAAAGGGAATCTCTTCAGTGTCCCGGCAACCTGCAGTACACAGGCTCTCCAAGGCTCCGGGTACCAAGGGCAGCTTCCTTTCCTGACTCTCGTGTGTGGACAGCTCGCAGCTGTGTGGAGTAAGACTGTTCTGATAAGTAGAACGTAGGTGGAGTAACTGTCGAGAAGGCCTTACCCATTCATTGTGTGACAGATTGAATTTATTGTTTACACTGGGGACTGTATCTCAGATTTTTAAAAAGAAGAATCATAAACAGACTTCAGAATATTAAGATTTTTACTCATTTAAGGAAGTAAACGAATTACCTGACCTCTGCAGCACTGATTGTTTAGAAGGGCTGATGAAGGACAGTTTGGAGAAATTTTTCTTGGCATCTCTAGCCTGCTGTGAAAGTGCAGGGCACTAGAAAATAACATGTACTAAAGATGAATCTGTTTGTATGTACCCTTATCAAATATATTCTATAATGAAATAAAACCTGAAAAGTGGATTTCTTATTGACCTATATTTGTGAAAGTATATAAATTAAAATATTTAAAATTAGATGGGATTCACACTATATTCTGTTTCCTATACAGACTGCTTACTTCTCTGGGGTGTTTGCAAATGGAGCTCTACTGTGTACATGCCATGGAAGCCTTTATCAGAAGGACAGTTCTAAAGAATTTGACTTCATGATCATGCCCAGCTGTTAGTTTCTCTGGGCATGTAAATACTGGCAAAATTATCACTTTTAGCCAAGTATGATGGTATAGTCCAAGCACTCTGAAGGCAGAGGCAGGAGAATCTCTGTGAATTCCAGGCCACCCTGATCTACATAGCGCGTTCCAAGCCAGCTGGGGCTGCACAGTGAGACCCCCCATCTTTAAAAATCCCTTTTAAATTAATAGTTGAAAGACTAATTAAATATCAAGGGGAAACCCCGTGATAGTTTGTGTATTGGTTACTTTGGCATTACTGTGACCAAATACCTGACAGAAATAAAGGAGGAGAGGTTGATTTTGCTTGTGGTTTCAGAGGTTCAGGCCATGGTCACTTGGCCCCAGGTGCTTGGGCAGAATGGCATGGTGGCTGGATGCACCTTCACTCTCTGATAGAAAACAGCAAGAAAGGAAGGGACCAGAGATGATACCTCTAGAGACCCGTCCTCAGTGACCCACTTCCTCCAGCAAATCCCCACCTCCTGAAGTTTTCAGAACCCCAAAAATAGCACTACCAACTGGGGATCAAGCATTCAAAACATGATCCTGTAAGGGGCATTTCATATTTAAACCAAAACAGCTTCTAAATCAAGAGGTAATACCTATGTGTATACACTAATATTGTAAGTATGTACTTACTATTTTATAGTACTCTTTTGTATTTTATTAGTAATGAAGACAGCTTTAGTAGTTTTACATCTATCAAGGCAATCATGACTGTACTAAATAAATACTACAATATTTATATAGCGTTAAGTGTACTATTGCTATAGTACTATCTTTAAATGGTCCAGTGTTAACTCTACAAATATTATATGCGTGCTTGTTCATATAGCAAAGACCACAAACCACTGTGCTCACCCTCTCAGCCAAACAAGACCTAGATAGAACAAAAGACTCCAGGAAGCAGTTGTTGGACTCCATGGCCAGTCCTCTTTGTCCCAGCAGCTTGTGGCCACATCAGCTCTCAGCTTGGCTTCCCTACAACACATAGAACAGTAAAGAAAAGATTATGCTGTAAGCACTAGAGAAATGGCTCAGCAGTTAAGAACGCTGGCTGTTCTTTCGGAAGACCCAGATTCGATTCCCACAACCTACATGGTGACTAACAACCATCCATAACTCCAGCTCCAGGAGATCTGATGCCTTTTTTTGGCCTCTGAAGGCATTGCACACACATGGTGCATTTACATACCTGCAGGCAAAACACAAAAATAAGTCGAAAATATTTTTTTAAAGATGATGGTACCTTAGGTACATTTGTTAGCATAAGATCGCCTAGTGGGAAAAAAGTTCTTTGGGATTTTCAAAACTTATCTTTTAAACTTTGTATTATGAGATGATGGTGACCATCCTCTTCCAATAAGGTCAAGTACAGAAGGAACACTGGGCTGCCTCAGAGACATCAAGGGTAGACACTGTACTGGTGTGCCTCAAAGCTGAAGAAGAGCTTGTACTTGCTGCATGTGCTGTGCCTAACACCATAGTCTCCTGGATTTCTGAGCCAAACCCCTGGCAAAGCTGCCTGCTCCTCTAATGGATTTTCAAGCCCATTGAGGGGACCTCTTAGGTACCAAGCCCTCTCCTGGTCAGTGTGGTGACACCATGAAGTCCAAAATTTCATCTCTTCCCTAAAATGTGAGGGCAATGCTTGGCAGAACCCTGGCTGAGGCTCTGCTAGGAGAGAATCATCTAATCTGCTAGGAAAGGTGGGGTGTCAGGAAAGGAGTCAACTGACAGGAGGCAGAGCCGGTGGAGGCCCAGCTGAGGGCTCTGTTGCTGAGGTGAGGGGTCTCTGTTCTTGGCAACCACTCTGGGCCTTGGAGATTTGCCCTAGAGGCACCAAATGAGAAGACATGAGCTGGCAGAGGTGCTGGGGACTGAGGCACAGGAAGCAGGGGCAGCTTGGAGGGGGGTGAGGCTGGTAAGACAGGGCAGCTGGCAAGGCCTGGTGGGGCAGGGAAAGGGCTCTGTCTTCTTCATGACAGCAGAAATAGGGGAGAGGGACAGGGCAGGGATTGGGTTAGTATTTGGAAGGTGTTCAGTCTATGGAGCATGGGATGAGGATATTGCAGGCTCAGTGAGCCCCCATGGTGAATAGGCATAAGAGTGGTCACAGGAGAGGTGGAAGCTTTGTCCAAGGGCTGTGAGGCGGCATTAGCAGGGCTCGATGTGCATGGAGGATGGGGGAAGACCTACAGGATCCTGATACTGTCAAATGGGGTGGCACTGGTGTGGGCTGAGGTACAAAACACTGGGCTTTAGGGACAAGTCAGGCTGGGGTGAGGTGAGGCACCAAGTCACATCCAAGTGTAAGTATGGAAGACTGGCTTCGCAGGCTCACAGCCATCCCACTGGAAGGGTGAGCGTGAAGCTCTCTGGTGTGGTTGGGGTCACACCAGGTGAGGAGTAGGAGAGGGCTACCCACCCGGCCTGGAGGCTCCAGAGAAGGCCCACAGGTGGGGCACCTAATGGTCCTAAAGGTGGGATGCCTGGATTCAGTGCTCCCCAGGGTAGTGTCTAATATATCTGATGAATGGTTTTCCAGAATCCTTATGCAGTACAGTGCTGGACAGGAGGTCCAGATGTGGACGAGAGCCTCAGTTGCTCAGGGAGAAGAACATAGTATCAAGGGGCTGTCCAAGCCCAGTGGTGGGGAACAGGAATGCAATGGTTAGTTTTAATTGTCCACTTGACACATCCTAGAATCACCTGGGAAGAAAGTCTCAATTAGGGATTTCCTAGATCAGGTTGGCCTGTGGGCATGCCTGTGGGGGATTATCTTGACTGTCTTAACTGAAGTGTGAAGACCGGGCCCAAAAGTGGGTAACTTCATTCCCCAGTATTGGGCTTCGGACTGTACAAGATGGAGAAGACTAGCTGAGCACTAAGCATGCCTACATTTGTTTCTCTTTGCTCTCACCTGTGGCTGTGATGGGACCAGCCTTCCCAGGCTTTGCTGCTGACCCTTCCCCACAGTGATGAACTGTAACTGGAATTGTGAGCTAAAACAACGCTTTCTCCCCTAAGTTGCTTTCTCCCCTAAGTTGTTGTTGCTTTTATCACAGCAACAAAAAAGAAACCAGGAGGGTGAGCAGGGGGGCCTGCCACCAGGAGGCCCTGGGTGGTGAGAAGTCAGTGAATTCTTGGCATTCACTGCTTGGCATTAGCAGACCTTATATCTGGTTTATACTATGTGGCACACTGGGGCAGTGGCTGCTTGGACAAAAGCTCTCTTCTGTAACTTAGGAACAGGCTGTGGCTTACAGGCAAAACCCATGGAAGAAATTATGCCTGAGCCCCTCTGGCCTCTTACAGGGGCTCACTAGTACACCAGGAGGGGGACAGGCTTTGGAGAAGAGGAGCTGAGAAACATTCACTTTCATAATAGGAAGGAGACCGATTCCAGGCTCCCGCCCCCACGTTCCTGTAGTCTCTCCTCTCTTTCGTTAATAGAAACTTTCAAACATGACAGAAGTTCACCCAACTTGAAAAGTCCTGAATATTTAGAAATGTCTCCCCTAACTTTGGGTGGCATTGGGAAGTAGGGGGTGCAGCTGGGACACTTTAAAATCAGTTCAAGCCACCACCATGTCACTTCATCTGTGAACACTCCAGTCTTCCGCTCTGAGGAGGATACTTCATGTAGCCGTCAGAGGTGACGTGATGATTTCAATGTCTTGAGTTTGTCAAACCCAACCCAGTGTCTCTATGGGGGCACAGCCCAGAGATGAGATGCATATGGGGACATGACCCACTGAGCCTGCCTGCTTGTCTCCCTGTTGGGGAAGGTCCAGGTGGTAGGGCTCAAGTGTTCGGTACAAGCTCAGTTTTGAACCCTTCTCCAGAGCCTACTTCTGAGCCTGACCATCCCCCGTGTAGTGTCCTCCCTCTTCCTTCTGAAGCCGATGCTCTGCACTATCATTGAAATGGGGGTTCCTTCCAGTCTCCCTCCTGTCCAGGCCCTCCACTCTGCCTTAGGCCACCCTGGGGATCTCCCCCTCCTGGGTCACCCAGCCTAGATCTTCTCTGCATCTACCAGCAGAAGAGAATAAAAAAAAACTTCCCTCTTGAAAGCAGGAATTCTGTTGCCCTTCTTGGGTAACCTATGTGGTCCAAGACGTCTCCTGCACATTTCTGAAAAAACGGGACACAAGCTCACTTCACCCTGAGATCAGGAACTGACTGTCCCTACTTCCAGTACGCTGCAGGGCAGTTCCAGTGTTCCTGGAACACAGATTTTGTCTACAATTGTAAGGCACACATACAAAAAAAATTTGTTATCTGGGGTTAGAAAGCAAGTATGTGTCTTAGCATCCCTAAGTTGAAACTGTAGGGGCAGTTATCACTTTGAATTTGTATTTAATTAGCCCCTCCTTCCCTGGCCAACTCCTCAGTCGGCTGCATTTCGCCACCTGGTGGCAGGAAGGCAGAGCAGAGCCTGCCAACTTCTCTTCCAACTTGCCAGATTTGGTTCTGCCCTCAGGCTGGGTGGAGAGGAAGAAAAGGAAATTCTTATTCCACAGAGATGGTCTCTGCTCTGTGTGAGGGCCTGACTTATCAGGTATGCACAACCTGACTTATCAGAGGAGACTTCAGAGAGGTTCCTAGAAGACCCCAATGTTGCTGCTGGCCTCGGAACCCAAGAGAAAACAAGTCCTGTTTAGGGAGCCACTTCTCCCATCAGCATGCAAGGGGGGCTGGCTTTGTTCCGCTCCCTTCAAGAGAGCTGTTAGGGTCCGTGACTCGGTGGGTCTCTTCTGGAGAACAAATGCACGAGTATGGAGATGCAAAAATCAAGCAATTGTCCCTGAGGCAATTTTAGGTAAAGATTATATAGGCTCCCACAACCATTACACAAGAGCCCGCGTTTATACAGCCAATAGTTTCAAAGCAAGCATTTCACAAACCAATAACTTTAAAACAAGAAAAATGTTACAACTCCCTTCAGGTGTCTCAATCGGGGAGAGATCGTTGGTATGTGCCTGGTACGACTCTTTTCTGTTATCTTGTGTAAGGAGACATGTCTACAGACATGACACAGACCAGACAACTTGCCCCTATCTCCGGATGCCTGTGTCTCCAGCTGAGTTAATTGGTTACAAGCAGTAAATTCAAACAAGTAAATTCAAGCAGTAAATTCAGACAAGCAGTATATTCAAACAAGCAGTAAATTCCTCTTTCCCTAACAGAGCCCACCACCTCTCTGGGGCCTTGCAGGCCAGATCTGATGTAATGCGCCCTGGTTCTCTTTGGGGGAGACTCACCTGTGGTCTGAGGAGACACTGGTGCTTCGCCCTTGAGCTGCTGTTCCCACGGCCTTTTCTTGGCATCTGGCTGAGATCTGCCCTCCTGCCTTTGGAATTTTTCAGCTATTGGCCCACAAATCTGGGGATCATGTGCCAAGTTCTCCACAAGGTTTTGGGTGCACCGAAATGACCCTCCACGCTTCCCTTTTGGGAAGAAGAGGGTGTAATCAACAGATCAGTTTCTCCTAAAGAAATCCTCCTCCCAAATGCTAAATTATTTTGAGCCTTTAATCCCAGAACTCAGGAGGCAGAGGCAGGTGGATCTCTGCGAGTTTGAGGCCAGCCTGGTCTACATAGTAAGTTCCAGGACAGCTGGGGCTACAGGGAGACCCTGTCTCAAAAAGACCAAAAAAAAATTATTTTGAACAATATTTTCTATTAAATTTATGTATTTATTTAGTAGCAAGAGGGTCGTGTAGGTATAGGTGTAGGTGTGCATGTGAAGGTCAGAGGACAATGTGAAGGAGTCAGTTCTCTCTTCTGACCATGTGGGTTCTCAGGCTTGACAAAAAGACCTTTCCCCACTGTGCCATCTCTCCAACCTTTTTTTCAAATGTGTAGTAGTGTTTTACTTGCATGTATGTACATATACCCATGCATACAATGTTTGCAGAGGCCAGAAGAGGATGTCAAATCCTCTGGAACTGGAGTTAAGGATGGTTATTAGCTGCCATGTGGGTTCCAGGAACCAAACCCAGGTTCTACTACAGCTGAGCTTCTTGCCTAGCCAAGTAGCCTAAATAACAATAATGAGAAAGTTCCTTACTGTCAGGGTCTCTATCTGTTAAGAGAAGGACTAACACAAGCTTATTCTGGCTTCTGTAGTTTGCTTATCTGCTAACTTGGGCCGTCCTGACCCTACTCAGGACCACCTTTCATTACTCATGTGTGATGAAAGTCTTAAGGTATTTGTGGGTTTTGTATTTATAAGCTTGTTTCACCTTCCCCTTGGGGGCCATGGGTCCTGAATCAGACTAAGGGACCAAGGACAGCTATAGCTTTAATAAGTATGACCAATTAAAATTTGAATTGGGTAGGGAGGTCTTTTCCCAGTGGTTTCAAAACTCCATAACAACCATGTGTGAGCAGTGCCCACGAGGTCAGAAGAGGGTTGGATCCTCTGGAGCTGGAGGTAGAGGCCATGTGAGTGCTGGCACCTGAATCCTGGTTCTCTGTAAGAGCAACCAGTGCTCTTAACTGCTGAGTCATCTCTCCAGCCCCCAACCTGTCTTTTTAAAATTTCTAACCTCTGACCTTGTATGTCTGTAACTTGCATGAAGGAATCTGTAACATTCTTCCTGTGAGCATTTTCTGACTTAGCCTGGCCTACAGAGCCTTTGTAATGCCCCATCTATTAATGGACTTTGGCCCTAGGTTCAATGTCAGCCCAACATCTGGTTACATTACCAGTGCTGTTGTGACTATCCTTGAATGGTTTCCTTGTATATGTGTACAGTGGGTTTCCATCCCTACCCTCCTTACTGAGGAGTGGGAGTACATGTTTTCTAGGTGGATACTGGGTATGGCCAAACCATCCCCCAGGGTGGAAGAGCACTGGACAGGACTGCCATCTAGGTGGACACTGGGTATGGCCAAACCATCCCCCAGGGTGGAGCAGCACTGGATAGGACTGCCATCTGTTCTACTTCCCTCAGAGCAGAGCATCAACTCTCCCTCCTTGAAGATGAAGCTACAGAGAGCTATAGATCAGAGATGTTTGCCCAGGGTCTCTTAGCTAGCAGATGGCTGAGCTAAGGAAGGAAGTCCCAGCTCCCCCAAGCCATGTCCTACAGTTCTACGCTGGCCTTCCCAGGTCCACAGAAAGCCGTTGGAGAAGCTGCTAATGGAGGGATCCAGTTAAGTGTAAGAGTGTGCTGTGTGCAGACTTGAGTTCCAGCTGCCTAACCCAGACCTGGAAAACTGGTCATTTCTCCAACTAGAGCCCTGGACATTTTCTCCCCAGCACTGATTACTGGCCTGGGGATGAGTACTCCACAGATCCTTTGATGGCTAATCTTGGTTTTCAATTTGCTATGCCTGGAAAGAGGAGACTCAGTTGAACAATTTTCTCCATCAGATTGACCAGTGGGCATGTCTGTGAAGCATTTTCTTGATTGCTAATAGATGTAGGAGGGCCCAGCCCACTGTGGGTGGTCCCACTCCTGGGCAGGTAGTCCTGCGTTGCAGAAGAACGCTGGCTGAGCATGAGCAGGAGAAAGCAAACCAGTAAGCAGTGTTTCTTCACTGTCCCTGCTTCACCCAGCCTCCAGGTTCCTGCCTCGAGCTCCTTCCCTGGCTTCCCTTGATGATGGACTGTAACCTATAAGCTGAAATAAGTCTTTCCCTCCCCCAAGTTGCTTTTGGTCATGATGTTTATCACAGCAACAGAAAAAAGCAGGCTAGATCACATACCATCCTGGTTAAGTGCTATGGGCAAAGGTCAGTTATTGTGATGGTTAATATTGTCAACTGATGGGATTAAGAATCAACATGAAAACAAACTCTGGCCAGTCTCTGAGGATTGTATAGATTGGGTTCACTGAGGTGGAATGACCTCTCAGTGTGGGTGGCACCATTCCATGGCCTGGCCTCCTGATCGAATAAAAAGGAGAAAGGGAGCTGATCAGAATCCTTCATCTCTCTCTTTCTGCTTCTTGTTATGTGACCTGCTACCTCATGCTCTTCCTGCCATGACTTTCCCAGCCATGATGGACTGAACTCTTGAACTGTGAGCTAAAACCTTTCCTTAATTTGCTTTTGCAGTAATAAGAAGACAAGTAACTAATACAATCAGACAGGCTTAATGTAAAAAAGAAATGAAAGGGAGTCAGAAGCCCACCTTCTCCACTCGAGGAATCCCGAGGACAGGTACATCAGGGCTTCCCTGGTTCCCTCCAGCTTCTTCAGAAAGCAAGGAAGTGAAGCCCTTGAGGTCCAGGGATGACCACGTTCAGTGAGTTCCTGGACAAGGGAGGCCCAGTCCTCTTTTTGTGCCTCTCTTAGGAGGTGGGTTGCCAAGGCAATGAGGGGAGGAGCAGAATAGAAGACCCCGGATGAGAATTTAGTGATACAATTTCTGCATATAGCACAGCAGGCCAACCATTCCCCCTTCTCAAACCTGAACTAGGAAGTTGCCTGTCTCCCTGCCATAGGGAGGCTGATATCATATTATCTGTGACATTTTTGAAACTTCTTTGGCCAAATGAATTTTTAAGGTTACCAGGGGTCCTCAGAGCACAGCTACTGGAAAAGAGGGTGGGCACAAGTCCAGTCTACTACCCAGCTGCCCAGTCACCTACATAGTGGCCCTCTGTTTTCATGGTTCATTTTGCTCTGATGCACCCAGAAGTGACAGCCTTAGACGCACCATGTCCACATGTCCACACTTGCAGCAATCCATGGAAGAAGCCAGACACAGCCTGTGCTCCTGACCCAAGGCCTTGGAGGTCACCTTGCCCTTACCTTCAGTCATTGCAAGGTGGCTGGTTTGTGCATGGCATGGGAAACTAATGTTTTTCTCATTCTGGCAAGCTCATTCCTACTCATCTCCCTTCCAAGGCTGAGATAGATCCAGGGCCTAGGGCATTAGTGGACAGCAGAAGAGTTCCCAGCATGCTCAGGACAGCCAAGCAGTCACCACATTTTTTATCCCCCTGGAGCTGTTCTAGCCTACCCTCCTGGCAGGGCTATTTATTTGAACCACTTGTAGAATATCAGGGATTTAATGAAACTGAGGAGGGTGTGATCTTGGGGGGTATTCCCCAGAGTGTGTTCTGTGAAAAACTGATACCTGAGATCCTGGGCTTGGAAGGCCCTCAGTTGAATGTTTTTATTAGTCCAGTGGGACTACTGTATCTTCCTGTCCAGCTGTTCTCCATTTCCCATGTCTCCCTTTCTTCCCTCCTTCCCTCCCTCTTACCCCTTGTCTGATCCAGGCACACCCCTGGGCTGGGAGCGCCCCCTGTCATGGAACTGTGATTGGAAATGGCAATAAAGAGGCAGAAAGGTGTACCAGACAGGTAGGTGAGCAGGGATGGAGACTATGTGAGTCCACCACTCAGGGAAGGTGGCCTGGCAGTGCAGTGGCAGAGCGAGGGCCTGAGCCTTGCAGCCATCTGGAGGACCCAGGCCCTGAGGTATTCCAGCTACCCGGCTTGTCTTTCCTGAGCCATAGCTGCCAGCTCAGGGTTAACAGTACACCTTGCGTGGAACATGGCTTCATTCAACTCCCTTTTGTTAGCAGAAAGGTGGGTTTTTGTCTTGCTTGCTTGTTTGTCTGTTTTTGAAGTGCTGGGAGTCAAACTCAGGGCCCTGCACATGCTAGCAAGCACTCTGCCACTGTACTGTATCTGCAGCCCTCCCTCCTCTTACAGATTAGAAGCAAACCTTAGAGAACAGAGATTTGCCCGAGGTCGCTGTGACCTTCTCGGGGCAGCACCAACTGCCCTGTTTGTTTCTTTTTGTAAAAATGAAAGGACGGTATTTTAAGTGGTAAAACTGTCTCCCTATTATAGCAAAGTCAGAAAGAGGCCCAGCTGTATCCCTGCTACCCTGAAGGAGCACTGGTATTCTTAGTGCACATCCCTCCTACATTTTTACTCTATCAGTCAATTTTGAGATGTGTTTCCATGGTTACAGTTTTGCATGTATAAAGCTTTATAGCTTTATAGGCATTTTCCTATTCTAATTTTGTTAAAAATAAATCTTACATACAGTATGATCAATATTGTTGCTCCTTGATGAATCCTCTCCCATTTTGGTGATAGTGGTGATGGTGATGGTGGTGGTGGTGGTGATGATAATGGTGATTTTAGTGGTTTTGATGATGAGAGTGGTGATGATGGTAATGATATGGTGATGATGATGATGGTGAAGATGATGGTAATGATAGATAATGATCCTAGTGGTGGCAGTGATGGTGGTGATGATGATGGTGATGATAGTGATCCTAGTGATGCTGATAGTGATGATGATGATGGTGGTCCTAGTGATGATGATCCTAGTGATAATGATGGTAATGATGATGATGATAATGGTCCTAGTGATGATAATAATAGTGGGGATGATAATAATGCTGGTGTTGATGGTGGTAGTGATAACAGTGATGGTGATGATGGTGATGGTAATGATGGTGATGTTGATGATGACAGTAATGAAGATTGTAGTGATAACTGATGGTGATGACAGTATAGTGATGATGAGGGTGGTGTTGATGATAATGATAACAGTGATGATGATGATAATGATAGTGACAGTGGTGATGGCAGTAGTGATGATAATAGTGATGATAGCAGTGGTGATAGTAGCAGTAATAATTACAGTAGCAAAAATGTAACCATGATTACATTTTTATATAATGATGACTATAGCGATGATGATGGTGATGATGATGGTGGTGGTGGTGGTGATGATGGTGATAGTAGTGGTGATGACAACTATGGTGATAATGATATAGTGATAGTGGTGGTGATTATTATGACAAAAATCAATAGAGACCACACTAACTGAGAACCAGTCCCCAGTGTGCTCTCTCTAGGCTCTTCCACCAGGCTGGAATCTCGCCCGCTATGAGGACGTAGATTCTTCCCTCACCCACAGGGCTCTGCTCTCTTCCTCCCGCTCCCTGCTCCCACAGCCCCAGGCTATCTCATCAACTCTCAGGACTCCAGTCACCTCTTCAATCTTGACAAGGCCCAAATCTGTATCTTCAGCTCAGCCTGCCTCAGCTTCAAACCCACACATTCAGTAGCCCACAGGATGTATCTATTTGCCCCCTCCTCTGGTGCCACAATCCCCACGTGTGGGTTTTAATCTCCTCCCTCAACCCTGTACTCCATCCTCTCTACCGCCCATAGTGTAGGCATTCCCATTGGCCCCTCTTTTTGACCCACTGCCCATATCAGCAAGCTGTCAAGCACCAATGACTCCAAGAGCATCATTTACTAAGCACCACCCACTCTAGGCACCACATAAGGGCCTTGTTTATGGACTCCAATACTCTCAACAATCCTAGGAACTGGCTGGTTATGATGATCACCTGCTTTTTCCCTAGAGAGACTAGTTAACTCACTGCAAGTCACACAGCAAATAAACTGGTTCTTAACCCAGGTACTCAGGATTCCGAGATCACCCCATTCCCTGCACAACTCTGCCTCTCCAAGTTGTGAAAGCTCTGTTTCACAAGAAGCCTTGACACATCTCCATAGGTGCTACCCCTACCCTGCCCAGCACCATACTGCCAGCTGTCAACCACTGCTTGTCCCAATGCAGCCATGTTGTCCTTTTGCCTGGCAAAGAGCTTTTGGAACTCTCAGCCTGACCACATCTCACTCCTTAGATGCCTTAAGGAAGCAGCTCCTTCACACCATGCCCAGGGTTGACTCTGGGCCTCTCTCTAGCACTATGTCTATGTCTACCCCTGACTGCCTCACTGTCCCTGCCACACCACACTCTCTGTTGCCACCCAGGCTTCATGTGCTTTCTACCCAACATTCTTCCTCCTGTCATTCCCAAGAACCATCAACCTAAATAACTCAGCTTCAAAGTCACTTCCAGAAGGATATCTTCCTTGAATACCAAATCTGGCTTCCGGTCCCTCCCACATCTCTCCTCTGGTCCCAACTGTCAACACATTCCTCTCCTGACACAGACTTGCCTCCAGCCTGTTTGTAAGGCCAGCACCATGCTCACCCTGCCCATGCCATCACTTAGCATGGTACTCTGCACCACCAGCTTCAGTGAGCCTCAGTGAACACAATGGAGTGTCCCTTCCCCCAAGCCTTCTGTCCCTCTTCCTGTTTCTGGTGTCTTCCAGTGGCTAGACACCTGTAATCAACAGCTTTGTCCTCTGACCTTTGCTCAAAAAAGTGAACTCACTTTTGTTTCTTTGAAGCAAATGCCCAAATCATTGAGGAGAGGACAAGATCTCCTTGTTTAAATCTCCTGATACATTTTACCAAAAAAAACCGAATTCTAACACTATGGTGGCAACTTGGTAGGCTTTTTCATTTTAGCAAATGACTCCTTTCTTCCTTTTTAAGTGTCTTCCTGGAGGAAGACGCCCCAAACTATTTTTACCTACAGGCTGTAAACCTCCTCAAGCCAGCATGTCTGAGGAAGCTGTCTGCCCGCCAGCAAGCCTGGGCCCCATTGGGCCCTGAGCCCTCGCCTGGTTCTAGGTCATTCGGAAAAAGCAAGTTTAAATTATGTTCCAAATTAAGCAGAGGTTTATGAGAGGAAGAAAGTGCACACACACTCTCATACACGTCCATCGTCGTTTGAGAGCCAAGTGATGTGGGAAACATAAATACTGTCTTTTCTGTCACTGAGTTAAATGAGAAAAAGGAAGTTCCATCTTCAAGGAATTTGTAAAGGCACCATCTGGCGAAAATCCCTCCCCAGGCAACATTTTTCTATGATCAAAGTATGTGCTCAAGGTTGCATCCTGCCTCACAAGCTGCATTTTTATCAACTTTGCTGCTTTAACTCAGAACCATCCAATCGTGTAAGAATGTAAGGTCGAACTCTGACCTCTCAGAGTAAAAAGCACAAGATCCTTTTGTGTTAGGGATAAAACCTGGTGGTTTTGCTGGGCCTGGTGAGACACACCTTTAATGCCAGAACTCAGGAGGCAGAGGTGGCAGATCTCTGTGGGTTCAAAGCTAACCTGGTCTGTACAGTAGTTTCCAGAAAAAAAAAGGGTCCCTGATGGTTGTGCTTGCCTGCTTGCCTGCTTATGAGCTATGCACCCTTCTGCAAAAGTAAAGCTGTTTTGTTTTGTTTTGTTTTATTGAGACAGTCTCCCTGTAGCCCCAGCTGGCCTGGAACTCCCTATGTAGACCAGGCTGGCTGAGTGATGGGATTAAAGACATGCACCACCACACCCAGTTTTACTGTGTAAAACTTTTTAGTCATGCCCAAATACTTTTAATTGAATGGTCATTTTCTTGAGACCCCAGACCCATTTCTAATGGTGATGTACGTCTTTAAAGTTCTAAG